CTGTTTATCTAATTACTTCCCCCTGTATTCTAGAGAATTTTGGAATTATAGTGGGAGGAAGAATAGCAGTCTGAATATTTATGGTGATCCAGCCAATTCCTGGAGAGGTGTGCCCAGTAGGTGACTGGAGAACCCATAAATACTCTGAGGCCTGGGGCAGGTGGGGGGTTCCTGGGTCCAGTCCTGCCAGAGGAGACTCCTATGCAGGGTCTCTGCCCCTGAGGCAGTGTGCTGGAGTTGTTATTCAGGAGTGAGGTCCCAGCTGAAGCTTAAGCCTGGGGGCCTATTCACAAAGTCTATTCCTGCAGTTGTTTTGGGTCTGGAGAGTGTCCAGATGGCCTGTGGTATTGTGAGCCTATCTCCCTCACTGAAGAGTGCCCAGTGGATATCAAAAGGAGGCAACTAAAGATCCTGCGGCATCGTGAGTAGCAGACCCAAGTGCTAGGCCTTAGTGACTGCGTGTAGCTCTCAGCTCTTTGGAAGAAGTCATAGTCACCTGTCAGCAGTAGAGAGTTTTGTGGGATGTTTTGTGCAGCTCAGTGTGAAATTAAAGAGTCCTCAAAGAATTCAGTTCAACATTTCTGGGATATCCAATGCTCCCCTTGCCCCATCCAAGTTCAACTCTACAATAAAGCATCAAAAAGACATCCCTGATCTGTTCTATGGAAATAAAGAAAATGCTGTATGCTTGGCTGTATGTGCTCTAATCATTGGGCAAAGAATCAGTCCACCAGTGGCTCCTCCAGGGGTGAGCTATGTACAAATATCACCAGTGTTGCTATAATCACCATTTTTGTAAGGAAGCAACATTTGAATTTCTTGGCAGAGCTAAAACATAAGTGGCCCAAATAGAAAGGTCAATTTCATTGATATTATATTTCCAAAATGGCTTGTGTAGCCATTTTACAACATGTTTGACGAAAGCAGAATTTTCATTAAAAGGGATCTTTAACTACATGGTATACAAAATGCTGCAAAGGAGGAAACTAGAAAACACACACAATACATTCAACATTTTTAGACTTACTTAGCAGAATGGAACAAACAGCCGCTATTAGTCATTTTGGAGGCTTTCATTATCTGTGTATATCCCTTTTCAACTGCAAAATTTATTTTGAGGACAAGTACTGTAGAAGCAAGTAATGCTGTGCAATTGTTAGTGTGATCTTTCATCAAATGTGGCTTTGTTGCAGTGCAAACATTAGTCATGTTTAGGAACCAGCAACAGCAATCAAAAATGTGAATGAATAAATATTTAGAATTGTCAGAACACAACAAATCTAACCCAAAATGGGAATTTATGTAGGCACAGAGTGAACATTCACCATGTGAAATTAAGACACCCCTTTGTCCCCTATGTAGCACCCTCCTAGTGTAGAGTAGGTTGCTGAGCAAATATAGTTTGGCTTACCTGTAACCAGTGGAGCAAGGGTTGATTATTTAGGGCTGCTCAGTGTTTCACAGGCTGATGCTCTGGTGCTTCCACTGTCTTCTAGAGGTTTAAAGAAGGAAGGACAGAGTGGGCACCTTGAATATTAATGGGACTCCAGCCAATATCTGGGGAGGTGTGTGCAGTAGGTGGTGACAGAACCCATAAATAGCATGAGGCCTGAGCAACAGGGTGCAGTGTTCCTGGGTCCAGTCCTGCAGGGGGAGACCCCTGGTGCAGGTTTCAAGAGTAAGCCATCAGGAAGACACTGAGGTCCCAGCCAGGCTTAGTTGGGGGGCCTATTTGCATGTTTGAGTCTGGGAATCAAGTCAGGTCTGTAGAATCTCACTGGAAAGAGTCAGGAGGAAGTTGGTGGGGAAATGCCCAGCTGTCCTATGGTGGTGTGAGTCTACATCTCCCTCACTAGGAAGAGCCTGGTGGATATTGGCAGGACGCAACCGATGAACCTGTGGCTATGTGAGTAAATGACCCCAGTGCTGGGAAGACTGTGTAGCTTTTAACCTCTAGAAGAGGTACTACCCACTGTCAATGTAGAGAATCTATGGGACATTTCATTTTGTACAAGTGCAGCCAGAAGATAAGAAGTCCTTAGTTTGTTCAGTTCTACAGTTTTGGGGTATCCTATGCTCCCTATCCAAGTTCATTGTTCCAAATATAAAAACAAACAAACCCTTAGACCAGGGGTGGGCAAACTTTTTGACTTGAGGGCCGCAATGGATTCATATATTGGACCCGGGGGCCGGACCAAGAGTAGATGAATGATGTGTATGTGTCATCCATAGTAAGTATAGTAATATTCCCCCATAGTAAGCATAGTAATTAATCCCCCATATAGTAATTCATCCCCCATATAGTAATTCATCCCCCATAGTAATTCATCCCCCATATAGTAATTCATCTCCCATATAGTAATTCATCCCCCATATAGTAATTCATCTCCCATATAGTAATTCATCCCCCATATAGTAATTAATCCCCCATATAGTAATTCATCCCCATATAGTAATTCATAGTAATAATTCATCCCCCATATAGTAATTCATCCCCCATAGTATTAATCCCCCATATAGTAATTCATCCCCCATATAGTAATTCATCCCCCATAGTAATTCATCCCCCATATAGTAATTCATCCCCCATAGTAATTCATCCCCCATAGTAATTCATCCCCCATATAGTAATTCATCCCCCATAGTAATTCATCCCCCATAGTAATTCATCCCCCATATAGTAATTCATTCATCCCCCATAGTAATTAATCCCCCATATAGTAATTCATTCTTCCCATATAGTAATTCATAGTAAGTCATCCCCCATAGTAATTCATAGTAATTCTCCCCCATATATATCCCCCATAGTAATTCATCCCCCCTATAGTAATTCATCCCCCCTATAGTAATTTATCCCCCATAGTAATTCATCCCCCATATAGTAATTCATCCCCCATATAGTAATTCATCCCCCTTATAGTAATTCATCCCCCCTATAGTAATTCATCCCCCCTATAGTAATTCATCCCCCATATAGTAATTCATCCCCCATGTAATTCATCCCCCATGGTAATTCATCCCCCATATAGTAATTCATCCCCCATATAGTAATTCATCCCCCATAGTAATTCATCCCCCATAGTAATTAATCCCCCATATAGTAATTCATCCCCCATATAGTAATTCATTCATCCCCCATAGTAATTCATCCCTCATATAGTAATTCATCCCCCATATAGTAATTCATCCCCCATATAGTAATTCATCCCCCATAGTAATTTATCCCCCATATAGTAATTCATCCCCCATAGTAATTCATCCCCCCTATAGTAATTCATCCCCCCTATAGTAATTCATCCCCCATAGTAATTCATCCCCCATATAGTAATTCATTCCCCATATTAATTCATCCCCCATATTAAGTCCCCAAGTCCCCCCCTGTGTCAATTCACTTACCTTTGCTCCGCGCGTTCCTTCGCCGTGTTCCCGCGCCGTTCCGGTGTAGCATGAAAATCTGTCTCCTATGAGGATCTGTCCCCTCGACGTATCTGCGCATGTGCCAGTTTCAGGCATTAGCAGCCGATCGGCGATCTCCGGCACATGTGCAGATACGTCGAGGGGGACAGATCCTCATAGGAGACAGATTTTCATGCTACACCGGTCTTCAGGGCGGACTGTGAGAGGAGCCTAGCTCCCCTCACGTTCGTCACGCTGCCCCGCCTACACACATCCTGACAGCCATCCTGACAGTATCACGCTCCGCGGGCCGGATTAAAAGGTCCGCCGGGCCGTATACGGGCCGTAGTTTGCCCATTGCTGCCTTAGACTGTTCTTTGGATCCTGAGAAAGAGAATGTCAAAATTCTTTGTGCCTGGCTGTGTGCGCTTTAAGAGGGAGAAATATTACTAAATTCACCAGAGGTTCTTTTAGAGGTGTGCTACACTGAATAAATTTAAAAGATGCTGTGGAGGGAACTCATAAAGGTTGTCACAAGCTCCATTTAGACTTCCATTGGTCCTCCGCACTGAATTTGTTGGTGTTTGTGCCCGATTCATGTTCCTTTCATTAACAGGTACATGATACCATTGGAGGCCAGCACTGAGGCTGGGAGCATCCATACAGTGCACTGCCTCCCTGGTGATTGCGCCCGTCACACAGACAGGATGATGAACGAGGATTCTGATAGGGAACTGAAAGACTAGTTCTTCGTCAGGTCCAACTTGCTTTTCATTGACTGCATGGCAGTTGGTGGATCTACAGTGCTGTGAAAAGAGTATTTGCCCCCTTCCTGATTTTTTTATTGTTTTGCATATTTGTCACATTTAAATTGTTCAGATCATCAAACAAATTTATATATTACACAAAGATAATTTGAGCAAATACAAAATGCTGTTTTTAAATGATGATTTCATTTACTAAGGGAAAAAAAGCTGGCCAAAGTAGTTTTTTGGAAAGCTGAGTTAAATATAATTTGCCACACCTAGGCCTGATTACTTCCAGACCTGCTGAATCAAGAAATTACTTAACTAGAAGCTGTCTGGCAAAGTGAAGAATGCTAAAAGATCTCAAAATGTAACACATCATGCTGCAATCTAAAGAAATTCAAAGAACAGATGAGAAACAAAATAATTGACATAGATCTGTCTGGAAAGAGTTACAAAGCCATTTCTAAGGGTTTTGGACTCCAGCAAATCACATTGAGAGCCGTTATCCACAAATGGAAGGTTTTCCACTGTTCCAAATTTTCTCCAAGGAGTGGCCGCCTTCCAAAATTACTCCAAGAGCACAAGAAAGACTCATCCAGGAGGTCAAAAAAGAACCCAGAACAACATCTAAAGAACTGCAGGACTCACTTGCCTTAGTTAAAGTCAGTGTTCATGATTCAACAATAAGAAAGAGACTCGGCGAAAATGGGAGAATTCATGGGAGAGTTCTGTGGCAAAAAAAGAACACAAAGGCTCACCTCATATTTGTCAAAAAACATCTTGCTTTACAGGGGGCACTTCTTTTCACAATAAAAACTTAGCTGCAGAGTCATTTTAAAGTGCACCTTATAGTAACTTTACACTTGGCACAATGCAGTCAGGCAAGTACCATTCTACTGGCAAGCACCAAACCCACACACGTCCATCGGATTGCCAGACAGAGAAGCGTGATTGGTCACTCCAGAGAACACATCTCCACTGCTCTAGAGTCCAGTGGCGGCGTGCTTTACACCACATCATCCGATGCTTTGCATTGCACTTGGTGATGTAAGGTTTGGATGCAGATGATCGACCATGGAAACCCATTCCATGAAGCTCTCTATGCACTGTTGTTGTGCTAATCTGAAGGCCACATGAAGGTTGGAGGTGTTTAGCTATTGACTCTGCAGACAGTTGGCGACTTCTGCACATTGTGCGCTTCAGCATGTGCTGACCCCACTCTTATTTTACGCTGCTTATCAATTCGTGGCTAAGTTGCTGTTGTTCCCAGTTGCTTCCACTTTGTTATAATACCACTAACAGTTGACCGTAGAATATTTAGTAGCCAGGAAATGTCACGGATGGACTTCTTGCACAGGTGACAACCTATCACGGTACTACGCTAGAATTCACTGAGCTCCTGAGAGCGACCCATTCTTTCACAAATGTTTGTAGAAGCAGTCTGCATGCCTAGGTGATGATTTTATACACCTGAGGTGATTGGAATCCAATGATTTGGAGGGCCGTCCCAATACTTTTTGCAATATAGTGTATTCCACTGCTTGCACCACCAAATTCCTCTTGGTTGAAGAAAGACACTTATGAATATACAGTATATTCAGCATCCTGTACATGTCCAGGTGTTCTGTTTTACATGGTGCTTTCTGCACTGAGATGGGGAGTTTAGACCTCGGATCCGCAGATCCGATCCATCCTGCGTGGATCGTTGGCATGCAACCTATACGGGGTGAAACCGGACCCGCTCCACGAAAAGGTAAGTTATAAAGAAAGCCGACGATCCCAGCAGGATGGATGAACGTTGGCTTGCTTTACCACTTACCTTTTCGTGGAGCAGGTCCATTGTCACCCCATGCGGTCGGTGTCACCCCATGCGGTCGGTGTCACCCGGAGCGCCTTGTAGCCTTCGCACCTGCCTTGGGATGCCACTGCACTCCCGGAAGCATCAGATGCAGAAGTTACTCTTCATCTGGGTGGAATTCTTTGGCACAGGCGGCAGGATAGGTAAGTATTCATTGCTTGCTTTGCAAGGAGCATTGCTTTTCACAAAATAGCGACGGAGTCACATTAATTATAACCTAAAGATTTGATTGCATTCTAATATTCATGAGTAAACGTAGGAATGGAACATTGCGTTTTAGCCACTACAATTTACAACCATTGATTCCGTATGGCGTCTTCCTAATAAGTTGTTCTCTAAACTTTACAAAGCCCAAATATATTATATGAAAAGAAGGTTTGAAGCTGTGATATGCCAAGCCAGTTGAAATCAAGAGAGGACTCATTCATCACTCCAGCCGCTAGACAGGTGATTATTAACATATATTGACTTTGTGAAGTGGATATTTCATGCAGCCAGAATACAAAACTTCTCAGCCCTGAAGGTCAGAAAATTTTACTATGACAATATCTATTTAATGTAGCTGAACAGACCTTGTATAAACACTCCATGGTGCCTTGACAAAAATAGAATTTAGGGTTTAAAGGGAAATATATATTTTGTAGGTATTTTATTTTTATATTTCTACTGAAATACATATTCTGTTTTGTTTTTTTAAGGTGAAATTGAAACTTGGCATATGAATATTTCGCTTTTACCACTTGCAGCCAGAAGGTGGCACGATCCAAAGAAGTGACGTAGCTTTTTGGAGGCCCAGCTATGGGTGTGTTGGTAAATAGACATAAAGGGGGAGAGTTACTAAAACGGGAGCACTCAGGATCTGGTGCAGCTGTCCGGGGCTGGGACAAGGGGTGGGCAGGAGGGGCGGCTGCCCTGGGCACTGTGGTACAATTTGAGGTGGGTAGGTACCATGAGATGATTGTGGGGATTTCTGTTGAGAGGGGGAATTTGGGGTGGCAGCAGGAAGTAAGAATTGCTCTAGGAAGGAAGGGCAGCACAGTGCCTATATGGTCAGCACTTCCGCCTGGCAGCACTAGGGTCTTGGTTCAAATCCCAACTACAGCACCACCTGCCTGGAGTTTGCATGTTCTCCCTGTGCCTGTGGGGGTTTCCTCCGGGTACTCCGGTTTCCTCCCACACTCCAAAGACATGCTGCTAGGTTATTTGGCTCCTGTCTACATTGGCCCTAGTATGTGTATGTATGAATGTGAGTTAGGGACCTTAGATTGTACGCCCCTTGAGGGTTAGGGACTGATGTGAATGTACAATATATATGTAAAGCGCTGTGTAAATTGACAGTGATATATAAGTACCTGAAATAAATAAATAAATAGGAAGGGAAATTTGGAGGGCTGGAAAGGGGACATGGTAAAGGGATAAGAGGATTTGTGCTAGTAGGGATGATTGAGGAGGGGGGTTGTGCTTGAAAGTGAAATTTAAGGGGGGGGGGGGATTTGTGCCAGGATGTGGGATTGGGGAGGGAATTTGTACCAGAAGGGGGGATTTGGAGTAGGGGGAGAGAATTTGTGCTCATAGGAGAAAATTTGAGGGGTAGAGGAATTGTGCTGGGAGGTTTTAAGCTGAGGGGAAGGGGGGGGGCAAAAATTGTGCTGTGAGGGGGAATTTCAGCGGGGGGGCAAATTTGTTCTGGGAGAAGGGGTAATTTAAGCCTAGGGGTTTTTCAAGGGGGGGGGGGATTGCTGACACATAATACACATACATCTTGTGGGGGTGGGGGTCACCGTTTGGCATGTTTGCCCTGGGCTCTGGATGATGTTGTCTCGGCACTGCAACTGTGCAATTAAACCTTGACAATAAAACCTGGAAGCTGATTGGTTTCTATGCAGAGCTGCACCAGATTTTGTACTCTTCAGTTTTAGTAAATCTCCCCCAAAGAGCGCTAGAGATCAGATTACATAGACTAATGAAAGACCAAGAAAGAACCATTAGCTCTGTCTGTTAGCGGATATGTAACTAAGGTTTACACTTGCATTTGCTCACTGAAGAGAAATCTGTGTTGGATCACTTTTTAAAAGAGGGCAGTTCACATCCTGTGAGGAGGCTTTATACACTGCCTGTTATAACCCCTTAAACCCTGAATCAGCATACAGTTGCAGGGTGGTGGCAGGGCACCCCCATTCAGTTGAATGGGTCACATACAGCAGGCATACTGCCCACTAAACGCAACTGCAGGAATCTATTTTGCCACATAGCCTCAGGGCCACAGAAAATCACTCCTTTTCAGCTCAAGAGGAAGTGGTTGGGGGCTGTAAAAAATGTGGTTGAACCGCTCATTTTTACTGCTCCCCCAACCATAAGTGTAAACAAGGCCTAATTCTTAGTCCGTTATACCCAGGCTGACAGCCAAGTAGGCAATGCTGAGCGTTTTTGCTAAAGTCTAGCAGACTTTACATATGGAGCGTCATGGGTGAACCTTGTGGTAATTATTTATTTGCATTTTGTTTTTTTTTTTATAAATCCATAATGTGTCAGCAGGTCCAGATTTAGACCATGGGGGCCTGGAGCACTTCAGGTTCATGGGGCCCCTTATATACAGAGTTGGTTTTCATTCTCAATGAGAGTTACACATTTTATAAATGCATGACACAACGTCACTTTGACGTCAAGCATACACACACACAGTCATAGGCTACCTTCCTTGGTAGGTGTAAGTGCTCTATGTGTGGTTCGCTTGAGCTCCTAAAGTTCATTTTAAAAAATTATATAATATACCAGTCCAGAGTTAAAACTTTTACAGGTGATGGCAGGCAAAATTTTACTTCCCAAGATACATTTAATAAAAGTAATTTATTATTATTTTTATTATTATTATTTATTATTATTATTAATAATAATAAATTATTTTATTGTTATTTATTTTTTTATTATTTTAAATTATTATTATTTTTAATATTGTTTTATATCTTTGTATAGAGGGGAGCTCCTTCTGTCAGTGGGAACGAGGTCAGCTGCCCCTTTTGCCCCCTTATAAATCCAGCACTGAGTGTCAATGTTGTTCTAGCAGGGAGCGGAGTGTCACTCATTTCAGCTTATCGCACTGTTTTTCTTTTTTTTTTTTATTTTCTAATGACACTTTATTTATGTCTGCTGTGCAGTGACATGTGGTCTTGCCCAGTGCGCTGCAGAAAAATGTTAACATGCTGCAGCACCAGGGGCGGACTGACAACTCATGGGGCCCCCGGGCAATAGGGGATCATGGGGCCCCTGTGTCCTTGCCCAAACTCAAAAAAGCATATGAAAAAGGTACCAGGGGCATCTCATGGGGCCCCCTACTGACCCCGGCCCTTGGGCAGTGCCAGAGTTTCCAAATGGTCAGTCCGCCCCTGTGCAGCACACATCACAGCAGCACTGTGTGAACAGGGCACCTAGAAAACAATTGTTTTCCTTGTGCCCAAGAGGTGACCAGTGGGGAAAAAAAAAAAGGCCACGGACACAGTGTGAATGAGCCCTTAACCATTTTCCTAGGGAGGCAAGATTTTTCACACATAGTAATTTCTACAAAAAAAATGCAGAAATTAACGTCAACCCCTCCAAAAGTATACATTTTCTGAAAGCAGCGACCCTGGAAAATAAAAGGGCGGTAGTTACAAATGTATTTGTCATACCATATTTGCACACCTGTTCATCAAACACATATTTTCAGAAAAAAAAAATACACTAAGATGAATTTTAGTGCAAACATAATATTATATCACATTTTTTGGTAAAAATATAAAAAGGTTGCATCAAGTAAATGGATACCAAACATGTCAAGCCTTAAAATTGCACAGGCATTCGAAATGTCGAAAAAACGATGGTACCCAAAATTCATCACAGGCAACGCTTTAAAAGATTTTACAGGTCTTAGAGGTTTTAGAGGTAACAGTGAATTACTGCTCCCACTCGTTTGTGCTGATACCTCACATGTAATCATGGTTTACATCAGGGCTTAAAATTTCAAGTCCTGAGCTACTAGCCAGGCCTTAAGAGTTACTCACCACCAACACACACAAACAGAGACACCTGTACACACACACAGACATGTACATACACACACAGAAACATGTACACACACGCACAGAGACACATGTACACACAGACACATGTGTACACACACAGGCACGTACAGACACACAGATACATGTACATACACAGAAATACACACGCACAGACACATGTACACACAGACACATGTACATATATACACACAGACACATGTACACACAGACACATGTACGTACATACGCACACATGTACATGCACACACATAGACACACGTACACATACATGTACATACACCCAGACACATGTATAGATACATACATGTACATACACACAAACACATGTATACACACACACACACACACACACACACACACACACACACAGAGCCCTATAAAAAATTGCAGTACTTCGTTGTTCACTCACAGAGCCGGGTACTGCACTCTAGGGGGAGGCAGAGAGCACAGCACACACTTCTTGCT